CAAATAAGAGTAACAGAACAAGTAGTTACTGCTGGCAGCAACGTCGCGATTGGACATTAGCGGTGACCACTGTTGGTGGGGTAAAAGCAGCGTTCCGGCAGACAGCTTGGCGTCCTATGGTTCGCATTACGACAAGCTGCTGCTGCTGCTTGTGCTGCTAGGTCTGCTAGTGCTGGTGCTCCTGCTCCTGCTCCTGCCAGTCGCCTTCCTCCGTCCTTTGATTCTCTCGCTTCGCTCCACTGCATTCTACGCTGGACATTTCACTCTATTTTGCATCGACTCGTCGCGTTTAAGCGAGCCATCTGTCCTTTCCTCTCTTCGCAGTGGATACTTTTATTTCCCTTACTCGGCTCGCTAAATAGCATTTTTCGAGAGACTCGCACGTATCGTCCGACAACAGCCAAAGTAGCTTCCACGGTCGTCAACGATACACAGTGATATATCGAGAAACACGAATAGTAATTACCGTGTAGCAACATCTTATTTATTCAACTTGAATTGCTGTTTCTGCAGAAAATTTCATTCGTCACGCGTCAAGATGGTTCCCTCTAACTTCCTTAGACAGAATTGGGCCAAGAACGCGGCTGTTTTAGAGTATCCCGAGTCTCGGTGTAACAGGGATAGAACAAACAGGACCGAACCATGTTTGCAAACACGGAGGAGAAGCTGTCACGATCTAATACGATTAGTCTCCCATTTCCTTTCCACTTTCCGCTTCTGCTCGTTTCCCTTTTCCCTTCGCTCTTCGCATTGCTCTCTTTTCCTTTCTGTCGATGTCACGCTCGTAGAAATGAACGTAACGCAACGATTCGTACGTTCTCGAGATATCGCACGAATGAAACGAAATGAAACGAAATGAAACGAATTGAAATGAAATGAAATGTTCCGAGAGGGGTAGGAATAGTAGTTCAAAGTATACAACTAATTGCGAGATAATAAAAGTGGGTGTGTAGCGGGCAACGTGCACCTAGCAAAGTACGCACGCGCGCGCACGCTCGCTGAACGAGTTTCTCGAGAGGCGTGTCACTACGAGCTACAGGTGGCAGTCGCTAGTTCCTCCTACTCATTCTATGTATCCTCTTCCGTTGCCGTTTCTTATCTTTGCCATCTTCTTTCTCCTTCGTTTATTTTCTGAATCCCTATTCACGTCACTGGTTATTACGTTATTACTTCTTTCGTGTTTTTATAAGCAACGCGGCGACTCGCTTCTTTCCCCTTTTCCTTGCTTCGAATTACGATCGTATCGTTCCTTTTACCGTTTCCGCGTTTATGCTTTAAACGTTCATTCTTCTATCGGTCTAGTCGATGCTCGCAGTTGACAGGGAAATAAGAAAGCCGTGTATCCGGCCGACTAAAGGTCTGTATAGGATACAGGAAAACACGCGCGCGGTGAATACGCGTATTCGAAATTACATCGACGTGCCGTCCGCTCCGTTTTTCAGCAGGTCAGGGGATAGATGTATTTCAGGCTATACGGAATTGCTAATCCCCGATTAAAAGGAACAACTCGAAGAAATTTTCTCTTTTTTGTCTTTCTCGTTCTCCTCTGTGTATAATGGTGTGTTTCGAGCATGAGTCAACTCGTGTTTGGCCCTCGCTCGTCGCGGCCCTGAGTAAAAGATTCTCTGAATGAACTCTAAAGATAGAGATCCCCTGTACCCTTTTATTCTCTTTCTTCCCTCCTCTTTCTCTTTTATTTCTCC